AGATAAACCTTCATGATTCATACAAACAGCACTCAAGTGGCTAACTGCAGTATATTGGCAGGGAACTGACTAATGTTAGCTGAACAATAAAAGAACACACTTGAATAATGAATTAGGTTTTGGCAGATCAATGAAGAGATGACTGACAATCAGTGGCAGTCCATGTCACAACTCTAAAACAAGAGAGCTGAGAAAAAGCAAGCGAGGGTGCCGTGAGCAACCAGCAGCCTTCACAAAAGCCCTTCAGCTTTCAGCCATTCACTCATTGCACAACATGGAAGGGTTTTACAACGAAAGATGTGTCAGATGAAAGCATCTCACCCATTCTCAACAGCAAAGAGCGCGTTCTGTTCTCTCCACTTAGGAAAATTAAGAGAGCAGAACAAGGTATCAAGAGGAACCCACCCACGCTCTTCTTCTTCTTCTTCAGCTCTCCCCTGAACAATAACAACTCTGGGTCAAAGTTACAGCAATCAAATCTGTTTTCTTTTCCAACCTGCAAATCACCATCCTGTGTATTTTTAAGATGAAAACAAGAAGTCAGCATTTCAAGTCGTGAAATTAGCAGCTGAGTTTTGGAAAGAGTTCTCTAGAAGCTGCTCCAGTAGCTGGCACAAATGACCAATTTTCCAGAAAAGGTGTCCTGTGAAATCATAACAACCAATTCTTCTGCTCATAAAAAAAAAAAAAAAACAAACTAATTTGAATTAACAAACCTGTCTTCCCTGTACTTTAAAATCAGTCACTGAAAAGTAATAACAATTACCCCAAAACCACCTCTCCATAAATCTGAAGGTAAACAGAAGCCAAAGCAAGCTACGTAAATAAGAGATACAAGAATCTTCCTAGAGCAAGAACAACAAAGCACCATTTCAAAACTCTTCTGGGGACTCATGAATGACTAGAAGATTGTTTTGGACTTTCACATTCTGCAAAACAGTGAAGTAGTCAACATCCATTGCCATCTTTGCCTTCAATATCGTACGACCTTCCCTTGCAGAGATAATCACTGCAGCATTTCAATCACTGCAGAACTGAATATTCTGAATTTCGATTGCTGCGTAGGTGAAATATGTGGTGAGTTGGGCCCACTCAGCTGGGTAAATAAACCTATCTAAATGCCATATTTATGCAGCTAGACTGATTCTATCTGCACTAAGTCATTCAGAGCTATTTCACTGTATTATTGCATGCAGACAGGACCGAACTGATTGTTCCAGTTTACGCCAGAAGCATGCAGAAGGATAACAGAGACCTCCTGAGTTGCAAACTGGAAATCTGGCCACTCTTGTCCCACTGGAAGCACAGAAGGGAAGAAGGAATAAAGCAGTACTTGGATTCTTGTGGCCCAGACATTCACACTTGTTCATTCTGGAAAACACATCCCTCCTCAGTTAAAAAAAATATTACCGGCTTCCTCAAGTCCCTTTTCCCTTTCACAGTCTCACTCCTCACTGAAGTCCTTGCCGTGCTGAGCTGGAGGATATTAATGGCCTATAAACCAAAAGTTTCCTTCTGAAACTTTAACTATGTTCCAATATCTCTGGCTTCCTCTCTAACACATTCATTTTTGTGAAAGGCATGAAAGCAGTTAGTTTTACTTCTGCATTTATGACTATACTGCAGAAACCATAATGGCTGCCTGCGGCCTGAGCTCGAGCAACACGCAGCAAAAGGGGCTGAACTTCCTGCCAGAGAGTGTGAGCTGACCGACGCTAATGGGAGGTTTACAAGAAAGATTTCTCCGGAAGGATAAACTGTCCATGGTCCATTCAAAAGGTCTGACAGAACTACCTATTTATTCTATCCTGTGCAGCAGAGGGGATGAAATGACCAATATCAACACAAAATGTGCTACAATAAGTCGAAACTTCAATGCACATTCAGCACCACTAGGCAGGAAATGCAGAACAGGTATTTAAACAGTGGTCCTTGGAGAAAGCTTCCTCCTTCGACACAGGATGCTTTACATTTGTCGTGGTTTATCTTTCAAAAGTGTCAAAAAGCAACAAACGAAAATACTGTTGAATAGCACTGGACACCACGAAGGAGCGAGTGAGGTGAAAACAAACCCAAAGTAAGCTCCACAGGATGAGGTAAAATTATTCAAAGCCCTCAGTGAACAACCGAGTGACAACGTGCCAATCAAACTGAAAAGCGTACACATTCATCTTGGTTTTTTTCCCTCGTCCCACGTTGAGCAAGGGTTTATCAGCAGCTACAGAATCTTAATTTGGCTATTTTTAACAAGTATACCATTTTTGCAATCCTGCCCACCCGAAGGATTTGTGAATCTCTCCAAACACTCCTCCCAGGTCCAGATAACTTTGCCAGCGTGAATAGAAAACTTCTGGCTCGCAGAACAAGTCAATGCTAGCTGACAATCCAGCAAATTTCTTTCATATCTGAAGTCTGCATGAGTAGGCAGCTGGGATTGTGATGAATTACTATCTCTGGTTTCAGCGCTAAGCTTAAGACATTTCTTTGGCAGAGTCTGTTAGAAAAAACACTGCCAATATCAACTACTGGTATTAGCAAACGTCTTCAGGAAAACTATCAAAGGTGTTTCACAATGTCTCTCTGCTTGTAATAAGAGTTAGTGCAGGGACAAATATTTATCACTGATTGAACCTCAATTCAATTTTGCTAAATTTTATCTCAAAATACTGTTTCAAAAAGAAAAACCCAAAACATTTTGTTTTGAAAGAAACCTGAAATGAACAATTTTCAGTTCCTAGCCGCCTGTTTTCTTGGGGCCAAATCCCTTTTCCAAGCTCAATGGCCACTCTTATGTTTTTCGTAAGCTATTCGTTGTGCTTTCCTGCCCCTTTTCGGTGTTCCTGCTGTCATATTTTCAGCAGCTGGCACTCCCAAGTGTGTTTGCACAATCCTACAGGGCTAATTGCTCTGCAGAAATATTGCAAGTATAAAGTCCAAGCCTGATACCTATTTGCAAGCTGGCATATTTTCTAACCATCACTCAACTGATCAAGCAAAAATTTTAGATTTCAGGAGCAGCCACAGTACTGACATGTATGAATTCAAAATCCTCAAATCTTCATTGTTATGTGGGCAAAACATTCAACTATTTAATCACATTTGGGCATTTTTATACTCGTAAATAAACCAAAAAAAAATTCTGCTCTCCGTACCTTTTTTCCATGCCCAAAACGGTCTTCACCCTACTCACAAGAGGAGCCACGCTCATTGTGATGGCATTATTTATATGGAATAAGCAGCCTGGATTTAGTCCTCAACTGTCCGTTTGCCCTGCTTCTTAAATTTCACACTCTAATTCTACCAGACTTTGCCCAAATGCCTTAAATCTGCTCAAGATTTTCCAATTACTAAGCTCCCAGGTACCGCTTATAAACTGGACATGTGCAAGGTTCAACAATTTCATAGGTAATGCTTACGACAACATTAAATCAGCCAGTGGCATGTATACAGGCTGTTGTCAGTGTCAACTTTGATACTGGTATGTGTATCCCCCATCTCCAGCATGCTTTTCAGAGATGAAAACAAGAGGGCAATCTACCTAGAGCAAATGCAAAGCAGATTACAAGCTCCATTTCCTTTTCATTTACTGATGCCACGCATCCATTTTATTATTACTATTATTATTACCATTCATTCTTCTGTTATTGCTCTCACCCAACCCCAAATCTTTTATCACTGCTGTTTAGCGCCTTCTGCAGGACCTTCCTCTGCAGGACAATAAAACTTCCCAGAAAAGCCACGCAAAGTAAATATCACAATATTTAAAATGTTCTGACTCTGCTTTATTCTCCAAATCCCAGGACTTCTGCAAATACCACAGAGCAGCTTAAACAAATAGCTAATCAGCACCTGTATGTTCTCTATGGCCTAGCCGCAATAGCTCATTAATACTCTAGCTTGGGAATTTGTTTTTTCCAGACTCAGAAATGTTTTGAAGCACATCAACGCATCATGTAAAGATGCTATTCAGCACAAATTTCATTGCCCCATGCTACAAGCAGAGTCCTAAAACTGCAACTTTTTCTTAAGCATTTAAAAATCTCCAAACAAATGGTTTTAATCTTCTAAAGATCTAGAAAGGCTTTAGAAAGAAGCTTGCTTTTTATAGTTCAGTATTTCTCTGAGATGAGCTCAAAGTGTTAGCTGAAACAATTATCAGGGAGATTATTGAGATCTTATTTTCAAAAGGTTTTGTTTGCTCTCTTGTTACCTAATTGCTTAGGGTTGTATGGAGCTTAGAAAATAGAAAGCATTAGAGAAATATCAAGCATTATTTATTTAACAGAAAAAAAATTTCCCCAAATGATATTAATATTTTTGGCATTCTTTTCTGTATTTTGAAGATTTTGCTTACCCTAGGCAGTGTGTGAAATAAGAAATACACCTTTCCACTGTTGTTTTTAGACTATTTCAGAGGAGCTGTGAAACAGCAGGAAACAAAGAAAAGGGGCAATATAGTGTCTCGCAATGACCTTCGTCCCTCCCAGCTCCCCTGCAGTAAAGGTTACGCAGGAGATTAAAAACAGGACCTGCTGTAAGTCAAACCAGTACCATAAAGCGCACAGTCACCTTATGGAATCATTGCATGTTTTGAAAAGTGGATAAAACCACTTCAAGAAGCAGTTTTAAGTCTCTGCAAGTTTGTAAGCAAAACTCAGTCGGACTGCATGAATTTGACTGCACTTTGCAACATTTAGCCAAATTCCAGTCCAGATCGTTCCAACATGATCAAAATTGTCTTCGAAGTGTAAAAAAAAAGCCCTAAACTCAACATGCAATTGTGAACAGACACACTTGTGTACCACAGTGCTGCAACAAGTTACAAACTACAGCAATTGCATAGCTTCAGTTCTTGAGGTCAATTATAATTCTGAGGTCTTTTCATGATTACTTACAGGTAATTCAATTTAGGCTGTCAAGAATGCTCACAGCAAGGGGTGCACCCGTCACACTGGCTATGCAGCTCTGGTTTAAACACGACAAAATCAAATTCTACTTACAGCCAACCATCATCATGGCCACCGAAAAAATCTTCTCCCCGTCAGTGGTTGGTGCTATGTTTCCAAATCCTATTGTTGTAAGGCTTGTCATGGTAAAGTAGAGAGAGGATATGTACAAGGAGTCTTTACTGGGTCCTCCTTCCCACTGCCCTGAGCCAGTGGTGTTGTACCGATATGGTGTCCCGATACTCAGTGCCAACTGGTAGAGCCAGCTATCTGTTTTGATTGTGTTAGTGACTTCATCTATAACTTCGTAGTCCCCAATGCTGTACCATATGCAGGCTAGCCAGTGGGCCACCAGTCCAAATACACACACCAACAGCACCAGTACAGCAGCACCATATTCCAGATAATGGTCCAATTTCCTGGCGACTCGCCCGAGTCGGAGAAGACGCACCACTTTTAAGGAACTGAAGAGGCTACTGATCCCCTGGAAAAGAATAAAAGTCGTTATTTTCTCTGAAATATCCCGCTGGTTAACACAGAATGTTGTGCAGTGATTCCTGGGTTTGCTCTAAATACTCCCATACAATTTTGTTTAATGTCCCAGGATGACAAAAGACAAGATCAAGCCCTCCTCCCCCCTCCAGTATGTTTGCTCTCGTTAGGGTAATTCTAGTTTGGCACTTAGTAGGTGCATAAATTAGTTGGTTCAAGCTGAGTCTTGCAAAGGTAACAAGAGAGTCCTATGAAATCCAAAGTGAGAAATAGCATATGTTTATGACAACAAGGAGGGAATCAATGCTCTGTCAATTTGAGGTTAATGCGAGATTCTGCTTTGACCTCAATGAAAGTGGCAGAGGAGCGGTCACATATTTAAATGTACAGTCCAGGTGGAGTCTCCTCAAAGCTTCTCAGAGAACAACAGTAACATATTAAATCTATGCCAAGGATTGCCATTTTTGACCAAACTGGACAGTCCATCTAGTTCAGCGTTCTGGAGCACTACGGGATGCTTAAGTAAAAGGTCAGAAAGTAAATGTAATGGGTAATTACAGAAAAAGCTGTCCATTGCTCCTCTCATCCATCGGAGAGTAGCTGGATAACTGCTGCTGGTCCAACAGGCACCATTTCCTACTACTACTAGCTCCATCTAATACAAATCTAGAAATTTGTCTATCTGTAAAGATGCCTCACTGACAGAACAAGTAACAACTGAGGGCAAACTACCCTTTTGAGTGATTGCCATACTGACCACGAGGCACTGGCAAGAAAGCCACGTGCCTTTCCTTTAAGGGTTAATTTCATTGCTGATCAACAGGCATTGCAGATACTTTCCTAAAGCAAGTAGTTTTTTTTTTTTTTTAATCAAGCTAAATGAAATACAAATAAATGGCAGTACAAATATTTAGGGAATAAAAGCACAGGGAATATCAAAAAGCTAATGGAAACATCCGAGAGGAAACAGGAAGTGTGTATGTCCCCCTCAATGCACAAATGATTTGCAGTGGATTTTAATAGAGCTTATAGATGCAGAAAGGGAAGAAGAATATGTTCCTGATCTGTTGCAGTCCCATGATATACCTAACTTATACATTAAATTAATTAGTGACTCAAAATAGAAGCTTTGCAAAGGAAAGTTTCTAATATAAAACATTCAGAAGCGGAAGACATTTAATTTAAAGTAGAAATTAAGACATAGAAAGCAATGAGGCAAACATGCCTAGCTACTGTGCCAAGATTAAATTGCCATTTTCTATGCATCATTATCGAATCAGTCTAGTCAAAACACTGGCTAATTATATTATCAAAAAGTAAAAGACTGGCGTTTCTGGAGTTTTCCGTAGCAGAAAAACATTCATCCCTGTTGCACCTCTGTTTCTTTTCACAACTAATGTTTGAAGGGTAACATGCACCTGGTGTTTCGAGGTGTAATCTGTTCAACAAAGTTCTTGTGAGCTTTTCAAAGCCTGCTGGAATTTGCTTCAGATCCCCAAATCCTTAATAAATTGAAGTTCTGTATTTGCATTCAGGCTCTCTTGATGACTAACACCAAGGAGGGAAGTGGAATTTTTCCGTTTTGATTTCTGTATTTTGCGTTTGCACAAGACACCGCTCTAGTTTACTGTTTGTATTTCTAACTAAACAGCTGCCGGCTCATTTGCTTCGGGATATACGGCTCCTGAGCCACAGCGCATGGCCAACTTGCCCCAAAAACGGGACGGTTTTTTATTGTACTCGCTATGCAATGGGCTGGGGCCAGTGGACAACGATCTCGGTGTCAAGACAGCACGCAGCAACACACATAAAAAAGAAAACTACAGAGTGTTTTGCAGTATACTGCACTAAATTAACCCACAGTGCACGCCTGTGAAAAGGAGCGGTTTACCAATGAAATGCCTGGTTCTGAAAGTTTACAAAATCTTCCTGCCAAATCAGAGGGAGAAAAGGGCAGGGTATTTTTTGAAGGATTGGATCCTATTACTTTTGTCAAGGAGGTACGTGTTGTTTCTGTTTTACTTACAGAGACACTGCTCATTCCCAAGATTAAGGTTGGGAAGGAGTTAGAGAGCTGTAAACTCAGGAGTCCCCTTTTCGCACCTAGCCGTTTACACGTGTGTCCCAGCAGCCAGGCTCCCGCAGTGCTTCCTACTGTGCAAACCAGAGTCAATCCCTGATTAGAAGAGTTTACAGCCTGACACTCAGTCCTCCATCTCTTCTACATCTTCTCTTTCTAAGTTACGTGGGCAGTTCTGCACTAATATAAACTAACATGAAACAAGTTGCACTAACAGAAAATAAGTTTTGCAACTAATATAAAAGTACATAATTTATTTCAAAATCTGGGAGAAAGTCTGTGCTGCAATTTATTTCTTTATTTTTTCTTCTAAGCACAGATAATAACCATATATGTATATATTACGTATAAAACAGAGAAATGTTTCACTTTAGCTGATGCTGAAATAGATTCTTCCTAAATAGTATTTCAACAAAACTTACTTAAACGTCCTGCAAGTCTTAAAGCCAGTTCCATCCAACCCACTGGTTTAAGACCAAATCATCAGAGATATATTCACTAAGCATTTACATTTCATTTATCATCTTGCAAAAAATAAGAACAATGTTGGGAGCTTTATGTCTCTTCCACAGAGCACTACCTAGGGAAAAGCAATTAAGCACATACTGAATGAATGTGATGCGTCCTACTGAAGGTACTGCAACTTTCTGTGTTTAAGTACTGGGCTGGGTCAAGCTGGTACCCCGATAATTACAACTATCTCCTGATAATAAGGGTGTAACGGTTAAAACACAAAGCTTTGCCCAAGATTCAGCAGTGACCTCTTCGATGAAACTCATTCTAAAGAGTAGCTGCCTTGAATTACATTTTTACTGTTAAGAATTGCAGTGTTTTTAATTCAACTGATTACGGGCTGCCTTTAATTTTATTTTCCTTTTAACTGTATTCATTCCCTATAATGATGACTTATAGACACTTATTAAAAGATACATTTTGGAAACCCTTCTGCTAAGCAGTGAATGTCTTGCTCTAAATGAAGTAACCTCAGCACTCAAGGAACGGAAAGGCGATTAGACACCCTGAATAGAGTGTATAATCCGGTTTGGTGCTAGCATCATTTAGCCAATGTACGTTTTTTGAGACTGAAGATGCAACCTTCAGCGAGGGTCACTTGTCTCTCTATCAGCACATTTAGTCAGTTGTTTGCAGTATCTGCTGCTCTGTGCACTCTCTGAGTGAGAACATCTGATTATGTTATGAACCATTCAAATCTGCCCCTTGGGAAATGAACAGGTTTTGGCCAGTGTATTTGACCATGTCTTAATCAGACGAAGGCTTTCATTCACATCTTGCTCTTCTCAGTCATCCGAGCTGCAGAAATTCCTAAATGAAAAATCATTTACTCCAAAACTGTATTTTATGTGTCAGATTTGAAACTTTAAATCCAAAAATAGCTTTGGATCAGATTCCTATCTGACACATATCTTCAGCTTAAAAGTTCATAGTGTGAGTCATAGGTCACTGGAATCAATGGCGACTTTCCCAGTGATTTCAAAGGCCAGTGGAACCAGAGAGGACACAAACAGTAGCTCTGATGAGACCCAGCCCTTTTCAGAACACCATTTCTATTTATTAGACAGCTGACGCCACCATAAAGGAAGTAGACAATGTCAAATTTATCTAGAAGGCTATTTTTGTGGAAAGGATGTTTAAGTTTGGAATTAATTTAGCCATTCATCATTTTAAAAAGCCCAGGTTGATTGACTTCAGTGTCTTGCAAAGTCTGTCTTCTCAAATTTTCTCTACATACTTAGAAAGGAAGTTCAGTTTGATAGAGCGGGGACACAAGCGATGCTGGTACTCGGCATGAAACGCAGAGGGGACCGCTCCCTATTATTAAAGTTACCTGAATCTTCCTATTTCAGACCCTACCTACCACATTGTCAGACTTTAGTCTTTTAGGATGAAAAAAGTCTCTAAAGCTATATTTCTGCATCTGGCTGAACTTTTCCAGCCAAAAGACTGGACAAGACATTTCTTACATTTGCGATACAAGCAGTTCGAACAGATCTCTCTCTGCACCCCAAGCAAGAAGAGGGTGCTAAGTTCTCCTGCATCTTAATGAACCCCCGATAAGCCATGCAATTGGAAGGATGAAGCTGTAAAATTCATGTTATAGAGGGGTCAAGAGCCAGACATACAAGAGGATAAAGGGATCGCTGTCACCAAAGGAAAATGAAAGGGAAGAAGCGCAGGAAATCATGCTAGTGCCACAGATGTCCTCCTAAAACATGAGCGAGAACAATGGTGTCTGCTTTACACTAAAAAGGAGTAATTCACAGAGTAGCAGAGCTGCATATTTGCAAAAGACGTGAAATTCAATGACCTGGTTACTTGCTAACCTAATAAGTCTTTTCTGAAGTAGGAAATTATCACATAATCATTTTAAAAAGTAAAATAAAAACAGTAACAGCCACAAATTTCTACCAGCTAAATATACTTTTACTCTGCTCAAACCTCAAAATCAAATCCCAGGACACTGAAACAGTAAATTGTTGCATAATTTTTTTCTATTAGAGAAGAATGTGTTTTTAACTCCAGGCACTTTTGCAATTAGATTTCACTCCATGATTTTTTATTTATTTGTTATTAGCTGTAGGCAAATATGCCACAGCAACAAATAAAATAAAACATGCAAACTAAATGTGTTCTAAAACTGAAATTCTGCCAGCTCTGAAAATGGGGATTGGTACTGCATCACTTAACAGAAAACACTGTCTCAGAAAAGACAAGAGGAAAAAGAAAAAGAAAGAGCAAAAGAGGAGCTTTTCACTATGCCTTGACATGCAGCACATGATGGTTTTGAAGAATTTATGGTGCAGCCAGGAACCAGAGCTGAGCCCCTTTCTACGAAACACTTTAGGGCACGCTGCCATTGCAGTCAAACGTGTGACCACCGTGTATGCAGACCT